AAAAAGTTGCTTCAAATGACCTCGGGAACCTCCTATTTCCGGATTGCGAGACATTTTCGGGACACCCTGTAGAAAGGAGGAAAAGAATACTGAAAACATAAAATCTGGATTCTGTTACTGATATACCGAAAGGCGACGCTCATTTGCACTGTGGATGTCCTCGTCCTGAGCGTGTACGACGAAATCACCTTTTTCCCATTCAGCTTTCACCTGCGCGACACATCGTTTCTGTTATCTGTCATTCTTTTTTTACAAACACCAGAATTATCAAGCGTGTAATTGGATTTTAATAATAAAAAAACCACCCTTTCTCTGAATTAAATACAATCGAACATTCATCCACGATATACTTCATGACACCTATTCTTTAAGACGCATTCCATTGTTTTCTATTATTTCGACGTGTACATTCATCGATGAGAACGTTCTTAAATACCTTCTTTAGGCCTTCGATTATGGCTCGCAGTTCTTCGTCCGTGAGAAGATTACCTTTGTGTATCGCTCTCGCGTAAGCAACGCTTCCCTGCAGATAATGATAATTAATACGGCAGGGGTAAATAATACATTATCGATGACACATATTATCGTGACAATGATGCCGATCGACGAGCAAATTCGACGTCACGGGGAGCGTCTATCGAACGCGATAATGTAACAAAACACGCGATTTCACCGCGATGAAAATACCTGAGCTTTTACGTACCGAAATGTTACAACATTTTGATCGAATCGATGAAATATTTTCTGGAACGATTGTCGCGAATAATTTGGTATAAAGATTTATCTCGCACGAACCTGTATATCTTCGGCGTACAAACGCTTGTCCATATCGATCGATGCATTCAGATCACGAAATTCTAGATCGATGCTTTTGTTGAAACGACCGCCCCACATTTTTCTCACGCTGGTATTGTTCGAACGATTTAATCCACAAACCGATCAGTTACTGATTTCTCGATTGTCTGCGACAACGAATACATACAGTGACTCGCATTAATATTCGGACACGATATTGTTAC